GGGGATTGACATGGGGCTTGACCTCAGAACCCTGAGATCAAGACCTGAGCTGAAACCAAGAGTCAGATGCTTAACCAACTGAGCCACCCAGGTGCCCTGTCTCTGTGCCTGTTTCTTAATCTGTACAATGAAACTGATAATAATAGTACCCACCTGATAAAGTGTTATGAGTACTAAATGAGTTAATATATGGCATTACACATAGTAAGACCTCTGAATGTTAGCTGCTTAATTATGATCAGTTGTGAAAATGCTACTAATGATAGAGATTGCACAGCCCATATCCCTCATTTCATAGATGGGAAAAGTGGTGCCAAATTATGGGCATACCAGTTCTTCCTCAAAATCTTGTTCATTCTGCTCACCTGACTTCTGCCATATCATTTAACTTGGATGCTTTTTGCATTATATTGATTTGCTCTTGTTTAAATACTTTCCCGTTGGTGAATTCATTTGCGAAACCATACAATAGACACTTCAGGTTTTTTGTACCAAATCATTAATGTTTATATGCATGTGGAATAGTATGTGAAATAATACTTTCTTCCTAGTTATCTTAGCGGGGCTGGCTCAAGATTAACAAATAGAGGAGTTTCTATGATTTGAAGGCCCCAAGAATGCCCTGACCCCCAAAAATCAACTCTGCCCAGTTGCCTGAAATCTCCTGTCTCCTGGTGACTCCTTAGGGGTAGACACATTGTTACTTGGGACTGAGAACCATAGATATATTTTTAGAATAGATTCATCTATCTGCAAGCAGCCTCCTTATCTAAATTTTCACAAAATAAATCCCTCCAGCAAACCTGGGGAGAAGGAAGTTAAAATAGCGTGAAGCAAATGTGAACTCCAACTCTGAGCAGACTGCAGCTGTGTGCCCTGTCAGCAAAGGCATTTTCTGAGAACGGAGGGAGATGCTGGAACCCTGTTGGCTGCCTCCCAAATTCCCCATCATTTGTCAGCCTGGGACCCTGTGTTGCATCTGGGCTTGTTTGCCCTTTCAGAGCGCCGATCACGTATGAACATGTTGCACTGAAAAACCAATCTACCCCGTTCTCAGTTATCTTTGAGTGGCGAGGGGACAAAAATCAATGGTGAGGGTTTTAGATTAGTCTTTGCTTCATTTTGCTTGTAAACACATAATCATCTTACTTGATTTTATTACTTTGGTTTGAAGTGGTAAGCTTCCTGGACTTTTTTTTTTTTTTCTTTTCATAAAGGAGGCTGCAGGGCAGGGGTTTTGCTGTTACCTCACATCGCAGTCTGTGAAATCTTGTGAAGAGCTCTGGGATCCAGCACTGGGCTGCGTCTCCTAGAACGGCGTTATTATCTGTGGAGGTGGTGAGGTGCAAGCCAGGTGAAGTTCCTAAACTGGTTTGCTGTGGGTGAATGTCCAATTCATTTACAACGGCTTCCATTGTGATCTAATTTCTAATTTCTCCATTGTAAAGGGAAATGTATTTATGGGGACAGGCTGACGCAGCAGATCAGATACACGGACTGGTTGTAAAAGTACTTTGCAAGGAAGATGATTCAAACACACCTCAGGTTGGGGGGAAGTGGATTTTTAAAATAAAGGAAATCTCAGGATGTTAGTGTGATTTGTTTCACTTAATGGAGCTGGTGCAGGACGGCCCAGAGGTAACAAATCCCTTGCTTGCCCAGGCTGAGCAGGATATCATGTTTTTCAGCAGTCTGCCTTGTTCACCTTGAAGGGGACCCTGACTTTGTATGCAAAAAACCCACCAGTCACTGGAGAAGAGCAACGCTTGTTGCTTTATCTCCAAGAGAAGTCTATCCTTTTCTGTATTCTCTTTGAGCTAGAAGGTCTAGGGTGGATGGGATCAGTAGCTTTTTGGAATGCCCATCATGTTACCCAATGGGCCTATAAATGAACCTGTCATTTTTGTGCCTGAACAATTAGTGTTTTATGACCTGCTGCCCAAGCACATTTAAAAATCACAATCACACCTTTGTTTGGTTTTTCAAAGAGGAGTCCTATTTCCTACCGTACAGCCGGGGTTTCTATGTTGTGTGAATATCTGGACCTGGGATTCTGTCTCAAGAGCTCTGGTATACCCACTTGCACTTGCTCTGGAATGGCTGCCCCACCAGGAGAAATAAATGATTCAGTCCAAGGCCTTGAGGTACTTGAGGACACCCGAGAGGCTTATTCTTTACATGAATGCTTACAAATGGGTCACTGGCCCAGAAAGAGAGAACGCTACATCTTGTGCTATCTGCTTGCCCCTTGAAAAGCTACCAGAAATGAAGGGCACCATCTCTGAAATAATAAACTCAGCAGGGAAAGAGAATTTTGCCTTGTCAAAACTGGATTCACACCTATGTTAGGGGAGCATATTCCTTTCATTAAATTGGATTTGCTTAATCTGGGGGAACTGAGGCAGCAGTGTAAACAAAAATGCATGAGGATGGGGAGAGAAGGTAAGAATCAGGCAGTTAAACAGCTTCCCTTCTCTGGCCTCTTCCACACTTTCCCTGCCTGGAGGCCAGCCAGTTGTCCTGTACCACCCACACGTGCCAGTACATTAGAGTCGATTATTTGTCTCTTTTTGTCAGCATTGAAATGAGGAGTCAGGCCCTGCCAAGGTGGCTCCACTGAGTGGGGCAATGATTTATAGATTAATTATTTTAAGGAACAAGGCAGCACAGCATGATGTAGTGGAAAGAGTGCTGCGCTAGGCGAAGACCTGCATTTTAGTGCTGGCTCTGATCCTTAATAGCTGTTTGACTTTGGGCAAATCACTTAACCTCTCTGGGCCTTAGTCTCCTTATCTGTAAATTGGGAATAACAACAGTTGATGGTTGTGGTGATCAAATAAAATCCTGGCTATGAAAGCATTTTGTTAACTCTAAGGCACTAAACATGTAGAGGATTGCTGTTAGGTTTCTAGGGACATGCATGGTAACACCACTCAGCTGAGAAGGGGCTCCATTCTGTCGCAGGACCTCAGGAAGTGCCCTGGAAGTCACATAGAAGAGAAGGTCCTGAATTTGTTACCCTTATAAGCAGTTCCACAGATCTGCTCAACTATACCACAGGAAGGGAAATGGGTCAATTATAAATGGAATCAACTAAATAACACTTCACTCCTTACACTAAAGAGCCCCCAAATGTTTTATGACCTTTAGCTTTTCAACATTAAGAACACTTTGGGATATGAGGTGTAAACTATAGTTTAGAATTTCTCCATTATCTGTGCACATGGAGGGGAGAAAATGGTGGGTTATCTTAGAAAGTGGAAAATCCCAAAGTCACATAGCACAGGATGGGTTATCCTAAAGAATGGGAAAACCCAAAGGCACATAGTGTATGATATGGTTCATAATGTTTTATTGAGGCTATAAACTGGGGGAGGCACTAAGAGATCATTTATTTGATACAATTATTCTATGGTGAATCCATGAGGTTGATAAGCCATGTGTAGATGGTTCTTACTTTGCTCTAGAATGATATTTTCATTTCACAGGTGAAGAAAATAAAGGCATTTGTTTTCTTTCTTTCTTTTTTTAATTAAGTAGGCTCCATACCCAGAATGGAGCCCAGTGAGGGGCTTGAACTCACAACCCTGAGATTGAGACCTGAGCCGAGATCAAGAGTCAGACGCTTAACTGACTGAGCCACCCAGGTGCCCCAATAAAGGCATTTCTTAAGCCAGGTCGACTAACTTCCCCATCTAGAGCTCTACCCAGGAGATACCATTTCTAGAATTCAGACAGAAACCTTCACTGCTTCCCACAGAGAGAGGTGTGTGTGTGACTATGTGCACTGGTTTTACTTCTCAATTCAGTGGCACATCAGTGGTAAATATTCTGATAGAGACTGACGATAGAATCAAAACATGCAAATTGACTTGTGCATGTAGACGACTTTAGTGGCATTACAAAGACCACTGAAGTCTGTGTCTATGGGTCACCAATACAAGTGATTGAAAAAGAGTACTGTCGTGCATTATTTTGTCCATATCATGCCTTTGGACTGGTTGGGCTGTTTCTTGCTGGAACTGGGTGGTTGTCTGGTGTTGTATTTCCACAGCCTAAAGGTTACCACATTTTCACTGTGAGTGAATTTGTACCGTTAGTGAAGAAAATGCAAGCATCCCAGGTATCCCAGCGTGACACAGGTGCTTGAAACAGGCCTGGCCTCAGTTGTGAGTGATTGTTTCCCTCGGGCTGGCAGTTGCTCTGGGGGTGATACTGAATGTTACTATATTTGGAAAGTTGGTCACATCATCCGAACATTGGTTAATGCTTAAGAAGGAACAGGTAGACACAGTGCTGTGGTGGTTGCAGGCTTTGTGTGCTGCAGAAAGGCAGGTTTGACAGGGATCTCTGGCTAGCTGCAGTGAATTGTGCTTGGTAAGGATTTAGAAACCACCCCCCCCCCCCCCCCCCTGCCCCGGACAAACCTTTAATTTCCTCCCGGCAGCTCTTCTCTGAGCATCACTAGTCCAGTCTCAGTACTGGTCCTTTACCCCTTTGGCCCTTAGTAATGTATTCACGGCAATGATATTATTCACTGATTTTTTCCTTTTAACTTGGCTTTGTCCGAAAGTTGCCTTATGTCTCGCATCCTTGTGTGTGTGCCTGCCTGTTCTTTCCACATGAAGTATAAACTATCCCCAAAGCAGGGAGCTGGGTCAAGGTAGTGAACCTGACAACCATCTCCCGGGCATGCTGTGAGGGATTCTGGAGGGCCTCCTGACTAAACACATTTCTCCACCCAGACGTTCTTGGTGCCTGAAATTGCTACTATTAGAGCACTTTAGCTGGCTAATGACAAAGAAAGCTCCTATTAGAATGTTCATTTAAGGATACTGAACCATTATCAGCCATTAGCACCCTCTCTTGAATTAGTATATCATATAAGCTAGTCAGTCACCTAGAAAAGCTTTGTTGCAATGGGACTTCAGATTAGGGCAGCTCTGCGGTTTTCGAACATAAGACAGAAGTTCTCTATCTTGCATCGGGTCAAGCCTTACCCTCAGTCTCCTTTCAAAAGCTGAAATGTTGCCTTTGTTTTGCTCCTTGCGCTGCCGCCACTCGATGAGGTTTGCATTGTGCTCTCCGGGCAGGGAGATGTTGCATTTGCCCAGGGTGGGGTTGACCGCCCCGGCCAAGATGTGGGGCTCTGAGCTGAGGCTGATCTCCATCCCGCTGGCAAAGGTCACGCGGAGGGAGCCGTCCGGACTCACCCGATAGGTACTCTGGGTATTTTCTGTAGGCAGAGGAGCAAAGGAGGGAGGGGGAAGAAAGGGAAGTGCAGGAAGCAGAGGAGAGACAAGTTTAGATTCGGGAGGCAAGTGTGGGGAAGGATGAGCAGGTGGGTCGCTGTGGACCTAACTGCCTTCTGGGCTAGCCGGCCACGCTCACAGGCACATGCGCTCTCTGTCCATTTGGGTCTTGTTACTCTCATAGCTGGGCTATCTTGTTCCTTGGATAAAAGATTCCTGTCTAATACTGCAGGCTGTTTTTAGCTTGTCTTTTTCATTTTTAAAGAACTCCCTCACAAAATGCTTCTCTGACTTGGTGGGTTGGCCTCCTCGGTTTGCTACGCTGGGAGACAGAAGGAGAGGATGCAGGTCACCTCGGCATCCTGACTGCCTTGGGGACGCGGGTACGGCTGCCGCACCCTGCAAAATGGTTACACTGACAAAGGGTGCTACCGATCCTGTTAGAGTGAACCTGAACTCTGGGCAGTTCTGTGTCTGGCCCCACAACCCAACAAGAGAATCAGTCCTTAATGACTGGGCAGAGAGAAAATAATTTCTGTGTGTCCGTGTCCCTCTAGCTTCCAAGACTCTCTCTCTCTCTCCAACCGTTCTCCCTCCCTTGGTCCCTCCCTTCCTTCCTTTGTTTTCTTCTCTCTCTCTCTCCCCCTCCCTCCTTCCTTCCTTCTTTCCCTTCTCCCCCCCTTCCTTCCTTTTTCTTCCATTCTTACTTTTCTCTCTGACTAGAATGAGATTTTAATTCTCTTGTTTCACTTATATTCTTCCTTGGTGTGTATCCCAAGTCATCCTTTTTATTCACCCACGTCAGCATTGATTTAGACTGCTAATCTCAGATGGGGCACAGACTTCATTTCTTTCATATAACCCAATCAGGGCCTAAAAGAGCTTTACAAAAGGTGGGTGCTGGGAAATGACTTGAAGGGAGAGCAGATTTGGCAGGGACTGAACCTCACAGCTCCCACAGAGATGTGGCCCAATGTTGGTACGCGAACTTTGTGAATGGGGTGATTTTATTTGGGTTTCAGCCTCGATAGCTGGAAAATAAGGAGAAGAAGCCATCTCCTCAGCCAGAAGTGAATTCTATTTGTTAACGGTGTGCAGAGGTTTGATGGTAGGTTAAGAAAGGTGCCTTTATAGTCAGGTGAAGTGGGAAGTATCCTTACCTTGTTTTAGAATATATATGGTACTAGTTGCTGTCAAGTTGGTTGACATGAGGACATTTTCACGGTTGGAAGTATCTAGTTCCACTTTTGTCAGCTTCTCCAGGTCACTGTGGAAACTGCTGACCTCTCCAGTGGGAAACGTTGCATTGGTCAGATGTCCCTCGGGGTCATACCTGAGGAATGCAACCAATCCCAACTTTGAAGCCTCTTGGCAGTGATAACAGGCCTTTGCAAATAAAAATCACTTGGCAGCTAATACAGTTTAACTTTGAGTGATAACAAGTATTATTAACCTTGTTCAATAAGAAGAAAAAGGTCAGAGGGATGATTAATCAAACGAAGGTATTTCTTGCAGCTTCTGAATTCTTGATGACTTCCTTGAGCTGTGCTGTTTTACAGAAAAAATATATCTGGTAATGAATCACCAGGGTGGAAAACTGATTTATGAATCATGTCCTGCTGTGTGTAATGTTGCAGGGAGGCCTCGTTTGCAATTTGGGGCGATCCCACTGGATGTGATGGATAACAAAAGCCAGAAGAGGGTGCTGTTGGCAAAGGAAAAGGAGGCACAACCGGCCCCCCCCCGCCGTCTGGAAGGGCAATAAACTGATTTTGCACTGTGATAGGAAAATTATATTTGCTGCTATTTAAGTTGCCAAATTTGAGATGAATGAATCATTCTTCCAACAAAATGAACAAGCAGAGAGGATAATGGAAACATGTTCATTAAAACATTCTGGAGCCCCCTGATCTCAGTGTCAGTTAAATTTTTTTTAAAAAAAACTTTTTAGAGTATAGTACATAATGCATTGTAATTTGCCTATATGAGTAAGAGACAAAAAAATAATTACCTTGGATAATAGGCAATAACCTATATCTGGAAATATAGTCTAGCGAGTTTACTTTAAAAAAAAAATCAGAATGATTGGCAATCTCACTGTCCTCCAAATGGAAACTGCTTCCCTGAAGGCTTTTGATGTGGAGCTGTTCTTTTATTGCCAATAGAACCATGAAAAATAAACACTTCATTAAAAGTAAAGACATGCACTTGGAAAACCCATTACTGTTTTCTTTTCAAGTTGCAAATTACAAAATATTTAAGCACTTTTATTTGCCTTTAAAATGTTAAACAATTATATTCTTTTTACCCGAAGTGAGCAGAATAGAGCCTGGACACAATGGCGAAGTCTGGCTCTACTATTTTCTCCCCCGACAATTACGCAAAATAGCATAGTGATTTAGTGTTAGTTCACTAGGTTTTAAAGAACTCAGCCTGGATAGTTGCTCAAATTTTAAAACCTAGACCAGCCTTTGGTAGGCTTGGGAAAAGGGGCTGGACCTTATTTCGTCAGACAGAACTGAACTTGGGGCTATACACAATGCCACCTCAAGTTCGGTGCAATGTGTATATGAGTGTGTGCACGCACGCACATGTGCTATCAGTTTAAACAGTCATGTATGCAAATGGAAACAATCAAATAGGTCAGTTGATATCACAAGCCCAATTGTTTAATTGGAGGCATCCTTGGTTTAAGTGGATATTCGTCAAAACGGTTGCTGGTGTGTTGCTACTACGCAGCTCAGGCCTCATTATCACGAAAAGGCCGAAGGGTGCTGTTTGCGCTTGGGGTTAATGGTGGAATCCTGGCCCCTGCTCAACCCCTTTGCCCATGGCCTGCTCTGGGGCTCTTGCTGCAAAAGGCTGGCAGGCCCAGCACAGCCTTGACCTTGTCTGCCTGGTCTTACTTCCAGGAGAGGAAAACAATGTCTACCTTTAATTTTCCCAAGTGTTTCCAGGCAGCAGATAGAAGGAAGCTGCCTTCCTCATGGGGGAGACTGGGGTCCCAACAGCCTAGATTCTGTAGACAGTTCCTCTTTGTTTCACATCCATCGACAGCAAATCAGCCTCACTGGATTACCTTTCCTGGTTTCTAAGTGGGTTCCTTAAAACTTGGCAAGGTCACTCATCGTCATTCCTCAGGAAATCTGACCTAAGATTCTAGGCATGCAAGTTCCCAATGGGCTTTCCAGCTTGGGGGCCGTTGCCTTCTTTCTCAGTCACAGGGCCTCTTGTTTTAAAGCAAGATTTCATCTAAAGGTGAAGGCAGTGGTTCTGGCCACTGCTCAGGGCAAGATCACAAGATCGGATGCCGTTTGAGGCATCCATGAGCGGAGGTACAAGGGCCAAAAATTCCAATGAAACTTAGCAGTGGCCTGTGGATAAATCTGCTTTCCTAAACCCCCCTCCTCCAAACACCTTTTAAGCTCAGTCGCTGGTGCTGTTTGCGATTATACGTCTCAAAGCTGATTCCCAAGGGCACAGCCATGTTCCTACATATTCTGTTCCCATCCCCACTTCCCAAATTGACAGGGGTACATTTGGGGAGGAAAGATTAATAGTCCTGGATAAGACTGTAATTACCTGGATAGATCTAGCTGGGAGGTAGCTGCCTGATCCTTTTCTGATGAGGGAGGCAATGGTGTTGGGGATCAGGTAGAATTTTCCAGAGCCCTGCCCAGTTGCTGGGTAGCTGGAAAGTTATACTGCCTGATTTCCTTTCTGTGGCTGGACACGCATCCTTTTTGAAAGTGTGTATTTGACTTTAACTCTATCCTAAACAAAGCACCCTACCTGGAGGGCATAATGCTAAGTGAAATATGTCAGACGATGACAAATAGTGTATGATCTCACTTGTAGGATCTAAAACAAACAAAAAAACCCCACACATACCAAACTCAGAAAAGATCAGATTTGTGGTTACCAGAGGTGGGGAGTGGGGTGGGTGGGGGAGTTGAAGGAAGGTAGTTAAAAGGCACAAAAGTTTTCATCAGAAGGAATAAACCATTTTTCTCTCTCTGTTTTTGGATCTATGAGATGATGGAGTTAACTTAGATTGTTTTGGTCATTTCTCAGTCTTATTATATAAGTCAAGTAATTAAGCTGTACACCTTAAACTTCTACAGTGCTATGTGTCAATTATATTTCAATAAAAGCAAAGGGAAAAGAAAAACAAAAAAATATCCCCAAAGCACTTTACCCAACACACTCACAGACCCCAGTTCCGCCAGTCAGCCACAGCAATCACATTTGGTGGTATCTTCAGTGTGGTGTCTCCGTCCTTTGTACGGCCCTAGGTCTAAACATATAGGCCCACCTCTCTTTTGTGGGATCATTTCCAAAGGAAGAGCGACAGGCTGAAGTACTCATTAGTGGATAATTCCCACAACTTTGGAAAGATTGCTCAAAAGTGGCTAAGAAATAAAGGGAGCCTTTGATTTCCTATGGCTTGCTTGAGTTTTTTCTCTCCATCACAGGGGAATGCATGTTTCCAGACTGAATGTCAAAGATACAAGTTTAATCAAAACCTCTTAGGCTGTGTTTCCCTTTGGTGCCTACATCCTTTGGTGCGGAGTACAAGCCAATATGCTGCAACTGATCCCCTCAGGCCACAACAAGGTAGCAAGCCCCTCCTTCCTGGGGCCGGGGGTAGCACTCGCTTAACCAGGCCTGCAAATTCTGGCTGGTGAATTGTGTGATCGGGCGATGACTGTTGTCTTCATAGTCATTAGAAGCGGGTCTGGTTAGAGGAGATTTGCCATCAGATTGTCCCTTCCTGCCTGATTTTACAGAATTCCACTATGAGGGTCTCACAGGACACCAATCAGTGAAATATTGAGTATAACTATTGTTTTGCTCAGCACCTCAAAACGCTATGTACGTGTGTGTGTGTGTGTGTGTGTGTGTGCGTGTGCACGCAGACATGCCCCATTGGAACAAGGAAAACATTTATAAAGGAAGTTCAGAATTCATTCTTGTCCTTGAGGAGCATATAGTTTAGTTGGGGTAGGGTGATATTTATACATTATTAAAAATACATGTGGGCTGATATTTTCTCATAAGGGATAGTCCGCCCTTTTCCCTTGAGGATAATTTAAGCCAGGGCTAAACCATGCAGACTAAAAACAAGAAGCTCCCCCACCTTTGCTTTTAAGAAAATATTAATGATTATAGAAGGAAAACTCATTACTTATTTTTTAAAGGGAAACAGACCCCCTTTACCCTCTCATGCCAGAAACCTGACCAACCTAATAAGCATTCTGTAGGAAATACTGGATTCCCCTTCCTCACCAATAACTTCATTTGGCTTCCTTTGATCCGGCTCCATGTCCATAATGCCCTTCTATCTCTACTTGTCCTTTATTCAATAAGTATGAGTCTTGTGCTAGGTACCGGAGATACAGTGCCGAATGAAATGCAAAGTCTGGTGGGGCAGATAAGACATTCACACAAGTCATTCTAATGCCAGAATATTGCCACGTGCTTCCGTAAACAAGCTGTCGAAGCTCAGAGCGGGCAGAAGTCATTTCCAGCTGGGCTGAGCAGAAAATAAGGAGGAGACGGAGGTGGTATTTGAATTCTGGAAGGTAGGTAGAGCTCAATCCCTGGATAGGTAGAGATGGGGGTGGAGAGGAGGTGATGGCATGAAGAAAAGTACACAGGTGAATGGGATGTCCATGAGAAGAACTGGGTTGCTGGGGCACAAGGTTCCTCTAGGACGGTAGTGGGTGATAAGGTTGAGAGGCATGTTGCAAGCAGAGCATAGGGGACCTGGGGTACCAGGCTCTGGAGGAAAGCACAGAGGCAGTGGAGAATGGAGAGCCACAGAAGACTTTGCAAGGAGAGAACAGTACAATGAGAGCAGTACCTTGGGGGCAGCAAATCTTGGAAGGGGATACGTGGAGCAGGGGGACCTGTAGGAAGGCTGCAGCCTTCATTTGTGTAAGAAGATGGGGGCTTCTTGCCTTTATTCAATGTACTGTGATTGCCTATCTTTGGGACTAGTCTTCCTTACTAGGCTGTAAACTCTTATCCATAGAGGGAGGGCACCCATGTCTCATGCATGCCTGTATTCTCGGTGTCTGGCACAGAGTAGATTCTCACTACGCCTACTTGTTGCGTGAGTGAACTAAGATGATACCAGTGGAAATGGAAGGGATGGGTGGATCCAAGAGCCAGTGTACTGAGAGAAGAGACAGAGCCAGCGATGGTGGTGTTGGGAGGCCAGGTTCAGCTCCCGCACATGTCCTGTGCTCTGCAGCTAATCTTCCCTACCAGCCCCCGGAAGCTTCTTCTGCCAGTAGCCTCTGTTCCTTCTGTTCACTTCCTGTCTCT